AAAGATTTGACTTTTGGCCAAGGTTGCGAGTATGCTTCTAGCCCTAAAGGGATCTTTTTGCCTATTAAGTTGAGGTGACAAAGATTTTCTTTAAAGTGATTTTGATTCTAGGTAGGGCAATCTTTAGGCTAGGATGACTAGGTCAAGAATAGGGTTTCTGATCTGGGTGCCTAAAGGCATGATTTAAGTTTAAAGAACTTAAGAGGGAGTAAGTCAATATTTGTCTCATGCAGTGTTATGTTATAGTATTGTGCTATAATGTGTTGTGCTGCTAGGTAAAGCAACAGGTATTTGATAAAAATTCTAATAAGTTTATTTTTTGAAGTGTTGCTATAAACGAAACAATTTGTTAAAATAATTTTTGCATATTGAATTAATTAGTTATGAATTGAGGATTTGCTTAATGGTTTTTACATTTACTTCTATTTTTGAGGTCAGGGTTCAAGTCTATATTCATCCACTTAGCTAACTTTTCTGAGAAAGAAATCTATTTGTGTTGTCAATTATCTCTTTTATCACAAAATTTACACCCTTTAATGCCTCTCTCTGTAACAGGGCTTGTTCCTTCTTTAATAAATGACATATTAGAAAAGATTACCATCTTTTTCATTTAGCACATGCTCACAGACACACACATATGTGCTAAGTCTTGAACTCAAGAGCTTGTGGTTGGAGAACAGTAACCGAACCATGGCCATCAGGCCAAGTGGGTCACACATAAAAATTAAATATTTGGTTAAATGCTCAAAGATGACTTGGTTAGTGATTAACAAGTAATATCAACTACAATTATTTAAAAATTATATTCTCTATAGGATAGTTAATGTAAGGTTAGAATTAATAGTTTTGCAATTTTGAATTAAATTACAATTTATCTATTTATTTTTATAATTAAATAGTTATGAAAGATATTTATAGTAGTAAATTGTAATATTTTTAATGAAAAATATGCTTCATAAAGTTCATCCACTAAAACATCATGCAACTATTTAAAATTCCAAAAACGTAATGGTTTTTGGGATGCAAGATTAGATTTTAAGTTATTTGGTATTTTAATCATTAGACTTTTAAAATATTAAAGTGTTCTTCGATAAAAGTTTGTTTTATGAAAACATGGCTGATTAGCCTCTTGATAACCTTCAAATTTAGCTTTCTTTAGTCAGAATTTTATTTCCTAATGTAGTTTTCAATGTTCTTTATCAAACATCATAAAGTTAATTCTTCTTGTTCAAAAGTACAACTAATTAATATGGTAAACAGTAAAGGGAGAAATTTTGATCATTGTGGTTCAATCACTGTCGAAGCTTTGGTGTTATGATCCACAGGAACACTTTTCTAGTTTGGGCAAGCTTTATAAATTTTATTTTTGGCTGCCACTGGTGTGGCTTTTTCGCAACCTATCTTGTTTAACCTATGTGCATCGATTCCATTGGAATGCTTGTAATTTTGATCCATCTCATCTCCGCATAATAAGCCAGTTCTACTATTCATTCATTTAGCCTTTTTTCATTATTTGATATTCTGGTATTGTGAATAGTCGTGGACATTTAATTTTCTTCTATATTGTAGTAGATATGTAGTTCATAGAATTTTCGTTGACTTGAATAACTTTTGCTACTCAATTCTACCAAACACAACCTTATTTTATTCTCATCCCATCTCAGCTTGTCATTGGAGTTGTTTGTGTCATTTGGGTTGGTAATTAACCAAGCCTGAACAAGAAAATTTTGAAGCTGTTTTGGTTTATTATTTTTTCCAACCAAACCAATCAACAGATTAACTCGATTGGTTTTACTGCAGAATGTGCCTTTTTTTTTGTTTAAGATATGTAAGGGGAAGTTTTCATCTTGGTGTGCGTGTCATTATGGACATTTTCCCATGGTAAGTACTTTCATGCCTCATTTTTCCATGATCTGAGACTGTTTTCGATCCAATATATGCTAAACATAAACATTACCATTCAATGCATGATTACTAAACACGCCTCATGGTAAATGCATTGCCTTCAATAAAAAAAACAAGAGAAAGTCCCAAATAAAATTCAGATGTTTTGACTTTGATAAAATCTGCTTGCAGCCCATGATTTAGTTTTTATGAACTGTATTCTGCATCCCTTAGGACATTCCTTAAGAGCTAAATGACCTAATGCCTTTTTGAATGGAGAAATTATCCATGCATCGCATAAAATATCCTCTTAAATTAAGTTGGCAATATATTTCATTGTTGCAATTATTCTCTTTTCACCAAGGAATCTCCAATCAACTGTTATGTTTGTTGGGGTAAGCAGCTCAAAATTTTCTTGTTCAAATGAATGTCTTGGTTGATTGGTATTGACTTATACATCCAAAGTGAAGCCTAACGTTTAGACTTAATAAAATAAAATAAAATAAAACAAAACATTATATTTGTGGGTTTGATTGTCATGCAGAGGAGAATACCAAAAAAGTTTGAGTGGATGTGATAACTTATTAGACGGTTTGAAAAGATGGAAATAATCCACTCATCTCTCATAAATTCTACAATATGCCGCCTGATAAATCTTGTCTAGAGATATGGAACTTGATATATCAAATATTAGATGTTTATGATTCAAATTGCCTAATATAGTTTTGATTATTTTTTTTTTCGAACTATGCCAACCTTCTTGTTTTGCTTGTGGTAAACTCACCTTTGAGGATTTATGACATGCTAAAATTTGATACATTTCTGAATAGTTTAAAGCAATACATAGTACTCATATACTCTTGCAAATTATACTAGTATTATATTGTCAGATATTTAATACACTTCAATATCATTCCAAACTTTATACTTTGTCTGAAAGGTCAAAAACAGCTAAACCTGGCCCTATCAAAACCTTTATCCATTGATTAGTATTATTCATCCCTAGATTAGTCTATTAATCCTAACTTTTTGCAATATATATATATATATATATATATATTCCAAAGGTTAGGATTAATAGACTAAAGGCATGTTAATTTTAGAGGGACTGTTATTAATACCAACTTGCTAATATATTAGATGAAGTCATATACTTAATTGTGATAGATTTAAATATCTTGAATTTATTATATCAATGAATGGATATATTAATATAGGTATAACCTTTAATGTCAATAATTGGTGATTGAAATGAAAAATTGTGATAGAACTACTGTCAGGAAAATATTATGGAAATATATAGATAAAATTTATGAAAATATTATTTTGAATCTAAATATTGGGTTATCAAAATTTATTAATAATTAATTTAAGTTGGGAAAATTGACTTTCATGTTTTGAATTGGTTTTGGCTGAAACCGATTTAGAACTCATAAATAATTTTCAGTTTAAGCCTAAAATCACAGGTTTTAGCATACTTCTGGATGAAACTTGAAGGCTTCTCTGGAATTCATAGTAGATTTTGGCAAAACTTTGTTGTACTTCTTTCGTGCTGTCAAAGTTTTGCTAAAATTTTATAAATGAGGTCCATTAAATATCATGTGTTATAGTTTGAATATTAATTTGATAATCCTCTTTATATTAGAGATCAAATATACTTTCTATAATCTTTAATAATAAAAAATATGGAAAATGAAAAACAAAACGTGTGAAACTATTGAAACGGATGAAATTGAAAAAAAATTATTAAAGAACCTAAACCAAGTTTTAGAACTTAGATGGGAATGCTAAGATTATTGATAAAATTCAGAAAGATAGATTAGAGAAATGATCATATCAATTAACATAGAGATATGAGTACCTCCTATTAAAGATTAAGTTGTGGATTAATAAACTTGACGGTTTTGGCATGCATAATAGAGGTCATAATTGAGGGTAGAAGATGCTTTAATAGGATACGTAAATAAAACTATAGTGGATGAATTAGGAAGAAAGTTGGTGACCAAAGGTGAACTTCCAAATAAGATTTATGAATAGTACTGTAAGCTTCTCAAGTAGCATTTTTTAGGAATGAATAAATAATGAGGATTCATAAAGCTAACCCTAAGTTGGATTATACAAATCACGAATAATTCTGTAGGAATATGAATATAGAATAAAGAAAGACAAAAATAGCTGCATGAACTGAAACCTTCATCTTCCCATTCGATTTTTCCTTTCTAATGCTTCTGGTGGTATCTTCGAAATTATAGTCTTTTCGTTGGAAGGATCATAGCAAGTTACACAATGCCACATTTAAGTAGGATTAATCTGTCAGGCTTCTGTGCTTATCATCTCAAGACCCTCAACTTAATAAATTGTAAGTTTATCTTCTTGGAACTATTAACACCTCTTTATCTTAGTTTAGTTACTGCTAAACCAAAAAGATGTTGATGTTTATCAGCAGAATACTTGGAGAGGTCAATGAGCTTTTTATCTGTTGGATTCAAACCTTTTCTTGTCAATGGATGCTTCCTACTTAAGGAACTCACAAGATTTTGTCAAAACATTGATGAAGGAGAAAGAGAGAGAATAAAAGAAGATAGTTGAGATAGAAACTTTCAGAGGTTTTATTGTTTGGAAATATTGAATGTTGAATATTCCACCTGATGTGATCCTTTGGTCGCATATTTATATGATTTTAAGGCGTTACAGGAGAGGGTGCATTTGGATCTAAATAATAATCTTGCAATATATCTAGTATGGACATGTGGTTTTAGTGACCAAAACACATGGATTTCTGTTTTAGTATGTCCCTTGGAGGTATTGCGAACTGGAAAATCGTTGTCCCATGTCTGCGCCCCTGACTGAATGCCTTTGGAATTTATTGTGTGCTGATTTTGTGAAACTGCAATTTAGTTTAACAAAGCCAAATAAATCTGAATCTTTTCTTGAATCTCTCTCCTAGGAGTTCAGCTCAAGCTCAAAATTATCGGCATACTCTTGCGTGAACTCCTTTCCGAGATTTATTGTACCTTTTTTTTTCCTTCCAGGCATGCAATCTTGTAATTGTTTTCTATAGTGAGTTATTATTATTTTCTTTATGGAATTGCAGTTGAAGTCATACTGTCTTGCAGGCTACAAAGTCATTTAATGAAGGGAGATCAACTCTGGAAAATTTTGTTTTTAAGCTCAAGGCTGCAGTTGGTTTGCAAGTTTTGGTAGAGGCTATCGGAATTGGCAAAGGGACACACGACCTTACTGGAGTGGCTTTGGATCATGCTAGAGCAAACACATCCATTCCTCTTCATCCTGAGATACCTGTTGGGAGAGCATGCTCCTCCCTGTCGTCTGCAGAAATCATTAAGTTTCTTACAGGACATTTCAGGCTAAGCAAGGCTAGGTCAAATGATCTGTTCTGGGAGGCTGTTTGGCCCCGTCTGCTCGCAAAGGGGTGGCACTCTGAGCAGCCCAGAAATCATGGTTCTCTGGGCTTCAAGAATTCTCTGGTTTTTCTTGTTCCGAGTGTTAAAAAGTTCTCGAAGAAGAGGCTTGTCAAGGGAACCCATTTTTTTGACTCCGTAAGTGATGTCTTGAGCAAAGTGGCATCCGACCCAAAGCTTCTTGAGTTAGATGCTGATGGAACGAAAGGTGGTTGCAGTGTTAAAGAAGAAAATGGATGGGCTGTAGATGCCAAGATGTACAGAAATGGTTCCTCCAATCACCAGCATCATTTCTACCTGCACCCAAGACGTCCAAGCTGCAACTTGGAACGCATGAAGTTTACTGTTGTGGACACCAGTTTGGCTGAAAGAGAAGGATCCTTCAAGCTGATGGAAGTAAGGAGTTTACCCTTAGGTGCCAACTCAAGCGTTGACCCATCTGTTAACTCTCAGGAATCTAGGAGTGATAGTTCATCAGAGACAGAAGATTCTACTGATATTTCTGATGATAAAGATGACTCCAATTCAGGTTCAGTCACCCAGAAGAGACCTGAAGATAATCGAGCAAGTCAGTCTGATCTGCCCAAAATCTTAAAACCTTTCCCAAATGCTGCTTCAACTAATGGATATGCTTCTGGTGATAAATGTTTGGTTAGGTTGAATAATGATAAGACATTGGAAGTAAGGTCAAGGTGTCAGAACGGCCAGAGGGTAAGACCCGGCCAATCAAATGATTCTGCTTCTACAATTAAACGGAGGAAGCTGGCTGCTTGTAGTAAAGGGACCGATCGTCGCACTTGTTCCGTCATCAAAAGAATTCGACGAGATCAGCGGCAGATGAACTCAAAACCTGATCCAATCAAAGCTCCTGATACCTTGCTTTGTGATGCAAGTCCATTCCAAAAGAAAACCAACCTCTACCATAATTCTGAGAGCAAAGCAGAGAACGACATTGTTGGCCAGACAAACATACCGGAGGATAATAAGCTGCAATCCCGAACTTTTTTTGACCTCAACAATCTTCCAACGGACGCAGATGTTGCTGAATCCTCGAGCAACGAACTGAAAGCTGAAGGATTTTCACAATCTTCAGCAGGGAAACAGTCGGCTGACTCCAATGATGCTCCTGTTGATGAACAGTCATCCACTGGGTTCAGAAGGCACAGCACTCGGAATCGCCCTCCTACTGCAAAGGCATTGGAAGCCCTCGCGAGCGGGCTTCTTGGCACAAAGCGTTCCGTGAGGCCATTCAATTCAACCGGCAGGCCTTCTCGGAAGGCTAGGAAAGCTTATGAGGAACCAGGTCCTGTGATAGCAGCAAACCTTGTGGATGTTGCATCTAGCACCTTAAGCATGAGTGTTGCTGAAACAGTTAGCAAGGATTATGATGAATCTGCAAGTAAGCCTCTTGGTGCACCTTAGCATAGCAGGTTTTGCTGAGGCTCTTGACAAAGTCAGGCGAGGGAGAGTTGCCGATCATTCTTGCAATATAAGTGACTGACAAAGTCAAAGTGAGATATGAAAACCAGGAAGTTATTCTCTTTTCAAAGCGGTTAGAACTGCTGTCCTCATTTTTGGATGAAGAGAGTTCTGAGGCAAAGTGCTGAGATCATTCGAGCTGCAGTCTTTTTTTCTTTTTTTTTCTTTTTTTTTTAATTTCCATTAACTGATTGAGTCAATTCAGATAGCGGCTGTTCTTGCTGCGAAGAGCTGTTTGTCTACGACCTCTGTTTATGACTAGTGGTTGCTCATCATGTGAAATTTCATATGAATGTGTTGCCAAAAGTTGGTGTTATATAAATAAATATAAAAATTTAGATGGTAGATATAATACAGGAAGTATTTTGTGTGGCATTTACATGCATACCATCCAATTCCTATGTATAAACATTAAATTTTAAATCACTGTTAAATTTAAAAATGTGAAGGGTACCTTTTCATGCACAAGTATGATACATGTAAAAATTGAAATTTAGATGTTTTATATGTAAATATGTAGGAATTAAGTGGTATGTACTTAAAGTTTCAATTTTTTGTATATGTAAATACTATATATATATATATATACACTAATCTAGGCAGGATGATGAATAAGATAAAGTGAATTTTAATTCAATAAAGTATTTGAATAACTTGTCTATGTTTGAGTGCATCGACATTAATATAGTCAAAGAAATGTGTAAAGCTAACTTCTAGTTTGAAATAAACTAGATTGTCATCTCAGCCATTTTAGGCATTAACGAGCAGCGATTGAAAATCAAAATGAGATGCAAATTATAAGTTTGCTGCTTATATTAATTTGTGAGCAGTTTTTCACCCGAATTTTAATGAAGTAATATTCAGGAAAATTTACTCGGCTAGCGCACAATTCTTATGAATTTACAGACCGCCCAACTTTAATATTTACATGCAGAGTACTTTGATGTTTTAAACTTATGCATAAAAATGTGTATTTCATCTTTAAAATGTGATAACAATGTTATTTTTTATGTAATCATAAAGAGTTTAGCATTGTGTGTGCAAATATGAAAGTTTAAGTGTGAGATATATATGCTAGCTGATTTTGGTCAATCGATTTAGCCAACTGAAGATGAAAAAAATCGAGTTGTTTGTGAGATGTCAACATAAGGGATCTACAAAACGAGTGTTTTGTTCGACGAGGAAGTTGACTTGAGTCTTATGATCTCGTCCCTGAGGAGACAAATCTGTGGGTTCGAGTGGTTGCTGAAGACTTCATACAAAGAAAACTAGTCGAGACGCACAGGATGCCTCAACATGAAATGCAAAGGTCTTCGTCTGGTTCTAGTACTCACTGGATGTGGTCGTAGAGTCGGCAAGAAAACTAGGAAGATCACATTGGTTTTTGCAACTCGTTGGTTCGAGTTGTTGAGGTGGCAAGAAGACGATGAGGCTCACGCCTACCATGCGAGTTGTGACTGTGATCGAAGATGGAGACACAGAGAGGCCACGACACACTTCGACCTCGAAGATGAGCAACGGCTACAACCGTGATCGGGAACGAAGACAAAAGAGGATTAGGGCTATGACCCTGATACTATGTAGAATCTAGAATATAATTTTATTTCTTTTTTTCACATCCATTACACCACACAACATATATGTAAATAATGAAAAGAAGTAAAACAGAAATTCTTCTAAAAAGACAAGAATAGAAAATAAGAAATATAAATAAAACATACGTCGTTATTGGAGTATATTATGAGAGAAGTAAATAAATTCCTTCATAATGCGGATATACATATTCCTACATTAACTATAAAAAAGTATTGAGAAGATATTCATATTTTTCTTAGAACATGTTACTAGAATATCTATTATTTTGAGGTTAATTAAAATTTTCAAATTTTGCTAACTTTCTTCCCCTTTTCTCTTTTTTCTTTTTTTCTTTCTCACTTGTTAACTGACCAATTTCTGTCCGTGCATGTACATTTGGGTTTCAAATGCCTCATATTTTTGATATTGAAGCCCAATGTTATCTAAGAAATATTCATGAACCTTCGAGGGAATTAAATTTTTCTAGTCTTAAAGCTAGATATATCTAAGCTGCTTGATTATAAGTCGGTAAACATACAGGGAAAATTGGATCTTGGAAACGTTTCAATTTAGTGAAATTCATACTCAGCACACAATTATCATGTCGTTACTTGTCTCACACCAAAACTTTAACATACATAGCACTTTGTTGCTTTAAGCCTATGCATGAAAAGGTGCATTTGACTTTGAAAAGGTGATGATAGTGATATTTTTGATGTGATATTAAAGAATTCAGTGCTATGTGTATAAATATGGAAGTTTAGGTGTGAGATATGTAAATACAGAGGAACTATGTGGTATGTATGTAGACGCCTTTTGAATTTTGTATAAGTTAAGTCTGCCTCGAAAATGGAAAAAAAAAGCTAATTTGAGCTTCTTTCTTTTTGTTTAGGTATGCGACTGCAAGTGCACGCTCAGATGGTCTTCTTTTGCTTTGTGGAGGGAGGGATGCAAATAGTGTGGTGAGTTTGAAATGCTGCTATACTGAACCTCGTGAAGCAGATAGACTAAGTGCACATAGCTTAAAGTATATTGTTATAAGTATGTTTTAAGTATCATAAGCTTTATAATTCTATTACTTGATTACATAAGACAAATTCATGATATTACTCTCACTTTTTTTTTTAACAATGGTCTTCTTTTTTTAAATGATATTTTACCATTTAACTGCACGCATAAAACTCATAATCTGGGTAGAAACGTGTTTTTTTTAAACATTTTTAACAGTTGACATTGTAATAGGAGAAATCAAAATTGGAAATTCTAGGAAAGCAATATATTACTACTTAATTACTTGTGCACCAAATCTACATTCATAACATTTTAAATGTCAACAAGAACATGATAGAATTGAAATTTTATTCATTATATTTTATTTATAATAAATATATCCAATTTATAAGTGTATCTAAGGATCTGATTATTAGTGATGATTATGAGAAATATTTTGGGAAGTATATAATGCAAATCTCTAAGGCTCATTCTTTCAAAATTTTCCAGAGACAATCGTAATAAAAATCTTCTAATGCTACTCGACATGTTTTTTTTTCTTATGTAAATTAATATCAATTAAAAATTTTGGAACTATCTTTAAAATATGGATGTATTGTTTATGATATAAATTATACCATATCATATGTTCTTTAGCGTAATTATAGAAGTGACAAAGAAGCTCAAGTTACATACTTTGGAGTAAATAATGTCTGTCATCAATATTTCCAAAGTGATGAAACTCTAGTGATATTACTGTATCCTTGTAAAGAATCTTGAATTCTCCTTCACTACATCTAAATTTAGTCCCATGAAATCCCCCAAATGAGTTTTATGCAAAATTTCATTTTCATTTGGGAATATTTAGAGAACATTGGTTATCTGTAAAAATAGCAATCAAAGAAAAAGATAAAATAATCAATCAGCACTCATCATAAAATACCTATCTCAATTTGAAAATTATAAGTTTCTTACGTAACAAGTGAGTAATTATTAGTGACTAGCCTGCTTAAGAGTCTGTTTTATGCTAAATTTTCTGTGAATATAGTGAAATCATTGTTATAATTTTAATTCTCTCCATTTTGGTGAATTAAAATCTAAACACGGAATCATTAAATTCATAAAAAAATTATAAAAAACCAACTTAGATAATAATTTTGACATGAAATTTCCGATATTTGTACTTACAACTTAAATCTGATAAATTAGAAGAATTCTATTACAAATTCATGATAGATGCATGCAAAAAATCAAACAAACTTTCGAATTCAAGCTCTCCTTAAGAAGAAAAATATGATTTTGTTTACCTGAATAAAGGGTAAGAAGATAATGGTTATCCTACAAAGATAATTTCACAACTATCATTAATTAAACAAATAAATACCTAAGAACAATATTTTGAAAACATACGAAGTAAGGATTTTTTTCTCTCACTGACTTTAAATCTTGCAAAAAAATTGCCAAGTAGTTTATCTGGATTTACAAAGATTTACTATTTCTCATGTCAATTTTTTCATGTTTTAATTTTCTTTATTTAACTTTTGTTTTACATTATTTACTAAATCCCAGATGTAGCAAAACAGCTTAGTGCTAGTAATTATTATGTGTAATCAATTTGAAATTACATTTCACTGATAAAATTGTTCTTTTGGAAGAAAATATTAGTGCTCCTCTTTACTTTTCTATTTAATAAGAAATTGTTAGGTGCAGATAGCAACTTTCAGATAGATGCAAATTCTCCTGCGTGGTTGTCCTTATTTGTGATAGGGTTGGTGTAGCTCATGTGACGGATAAAATTAGGGAAAGTCGTCCTAGATGGTTTAGTCACATTAAACTTCGACCATCTGATGATCCGATTAGGAGAGTAGATGTTTTAGACTCGACTTATGTTAAGAAAGGCAGAGGTAGACCTAGGAAGATTTGGGCTTATTGTATAAAAAATGATCTTAATTTATCAGAACTAAATGAAAATATGACACTAAATAGGACAAAATGGAGAAAAAGGATTTATGTAGCCAACCCCACGTGGTGGGATTAAGGCTTTGTTGTTGTTGTTGGCTATCCTTATTTGTGGAGTTGCACCCAATAGTATCACCCATCAGAGGTTCTAAACTTTCTACGGTAGTTGGTCAATTAAAACAATATAATGATTTTATGCATATAAGCACAAAAGCATATTTGTAGGTGGGGCAATACCAGATAATCCAAATTTTTTGTTGGAATCCACCTTTTGAGTGAAGTGGTGGTAGTTACATTATTAATTAATGCTAAAAATATGATCATCAGCGAGATTAATTATCAATATATTCAAATAAAGTCTCTGGAAAAAAGTAAGATTTAGCATTGTTCATGCAAGAATTTCTGCAAAATATATTACATCTTCAGATTGAAAAAAAAGGAAGGATTGAAAGATAAGAACTATCACAGTGCCAGAAAGTATAGTACATGCTGTAAATTAGAAATTTTAGCTTGCAAGTAAAATTGCAATTATAGGATTCCTCTTTACTCACTCCATTAAATGTTAGAATACCTCTAATCTTAGATGATTAATTTCATTATTCTAACAATTGATTACAGAATCTCAATGATAATTCATTGAATCTATGGAAAAATATAGCATGAGAAGGAGAAATGGGGTCAATTTGCTGCATTGTTGATCGAGCTACAGTCAACGTGATTTATTCTCATTCTAGTTTGGAAGAATGGTTGTGATTTTAATTTAAATGAAAGACGAAGATTTTATTTTAGGCGAATCAACAGTTACTTTTTAATTGGTAGTAAAGATTATTCTTTTGACCGATGTGGAACTGCAATAATACAAAATTATCGAACTATGCTAGTATTGTAGCAAGTGTACCACTGTGATTCTGTGGAACAGTTCAGTCGATAGTAAAATTATTGGTACAGAGGGTGTGTCTGATACACTTATGTGGAAGAAACAAAAGCCATTATTATTTTATTTATCTCTATGCGACAATCTAGTTGTCCTCATGTGGCAAGAGTGGAGCATAAATAAACATTTAAAATAGTATAAACATGAAAATTGAATGGTCAGCCTACAGATGTGGGTGGTCATGAGGTTTATATGTTATAGTAGGTGAGTATATGATGGAAGATTTCAGTCCACATTCCTAAAGATCAGTGATCCATAAAATAAATTGCATGGGGAGATTCAATCATGATATAAAATGACTGTTAACACAATGTCCACGTAATAAATTGCAGTGGTTGGCTTCGATGCTTTACGCTTTGATGATTTTTATTTGATGCAGTATTTTATACATAGAACTATACAACACTCACATGAGGAGCAAAGGAAATGGGAAAGAAGTAAAATAAGATATTCAACTTAATTGAATAAAGGAGCATTTACATACATATCACACGATATTTATGTATCTTAAGCATTCATATTTACATGCTATCACTCAAATCTTTAACATCAATTAAAAATACCAGTAACACTAACTTTTTAAAAGTGAAATACACCTTTTCATGCGTAGGTTTATGACACCAAGGAGTTATAAGTGTAAAGATCAAAGTTTGTGTTAGATATGCAAATACATAAGAATTTTGTGGTATGCATTTAAATTTTCCTTGAATAGGACAGGTGCTTAGATGGCTTTCTTGGTTCTTTTAAATATCACATTTATGTAAGACGTTCTCATCCATCCATGACAAGAAGCGCTTTTATTCAATATGACTTGGTGGAAGACAAGGGTCCTTGAATACTGGGACACATAATAAAATGGCTAAAGATACCTGATAACGGAAGACAACAATTCAGAAGATTTGACTTTGTTACACTTTAGAATATTATAAAAAAAACTCATTTTAACATGTTTAAAATATTCATTTATTATTCAAACTCAAATACAAAGGATCTTAGGGCCAGACCATCATAAATTGCTAAAAAATTACACACAAAGTAACTTTGACTATAGACATCTTGCTCTTTTCTCTTCTGCTATGTTCTTGTAATTCTGCATCATAGATAATTCTTTTATGCATAGACGTTGCTTTCTTTCTTTCTCCTAGAATTCTACTGCTATGGAACTTTTTAATGCTTGGATTGCTGTTTTTTTTTTGTTGTAATGTTAAATGACGTAGACATTTCATTTTTAACTAGATCAATTTGGTCGAGACATTGAACGAAACGTGATTATTGTAGAAACAGTACCCAATGTGACTAAATTCATTGAACCTTGTTATCAACATTCTTTCATTCTGTTCATGGAAATTTTCTAGCCCAATTTGATTAGATTCATAGAAATTTTTTGTCAACAAGCCCTTACTCTATTGATTGGATTTTTTTATAAAATTTTTCTCAATCCTAACCTATCTAAGCTCATATTTTGTGGCCACATGCAGCCTGTTTTTTTTTTTGTTGACATGCTATTACTTCGTAGTTGCAAGTCCTTTGAATTCCTGAATACTACTTGTGAATAGCAAAGTAATTGTAGAAAATGTTGTTCCTATTTGTATATGGTATATATATATACGTGCACCGGGGCGGCAAGTTGTTTGGCAGCTCTGTCGTAAGTCCCCTCTGGGCCGGGTTTGATTCCCGTTGAGAACGAACGCGAGAAGAGAAAAGAGCAAGGGGTTGAACATTAATATCGATAGAAAGCGTGATATGTATTTTGAGGCTTTCATTCTATAGAAAATGTGACAAACAAGAAGTCACCTTTTGAACAAAGAGCAAGGGGTCGACATTAATATCGATAGAACGCTTTATTGTTGATCTTCAAGAGAAAGATATCTCTAGAAAATATTTGAGGTTTTTTGTACGTACAACTAAATTGATCTACCTTGATTGAAGTACTTGCTAATTGAAGTTGACTAAAGAAATATATGACTGGAGCTGAGTTCTCTCTCTCTCCCTCTTTATATTTTTCATTTTGATTTATGGTCAGGTTGAGTTATTTGTACTTTGGGTCGTGTTTTGCAAAGATACGGTTCAAAGTGTGTATCAGTTTGAATCGCAGGTTATGGGAACGAGTGAAGTTATTTATGAAAGCACTGAGGGTATTTATGGAGATGTTGATGTGAGTTGAGCCAAGTTGGCTTGAGATAGTAGATATCTTGGGATTAGTTACTTATAGGGGACTTGATGGTACTCAACTGTTTGGATCTGTGAGAGATGGAGATAGAGGATGTGGCAATTTGTGTAGTCACTTATAGGGGACTTGATGCTACTCAACTGTGAGAGATGGAGATAGAGGATGTGGCAATTTGTGTGGACTTCATGCGAAAGATGAATGAAGGCTTAGTTACATGAAGTCATAGAACAAACATGGGATTGAGTTTCAGCTTTGACACCCAAATTGATAGTCCAACAATTGAAATAGACAAATTTTGTTTAGGAGAACAAAGAGGTGGATGGATGAAGAGGATTGCGGAGATGGATTAATGAACATTGTAGAGGGAGGGAGACAAGGGTTTTAACTAAACAAGATGAAAACTCAGGAGACAAGGGTTTTGACTAAACAAGATGAAAACCTAGAACAAAGAGAATCTTTCCTAGAGTGAAGGGCACAAGAAATCTCGGATCTCGAATCATTATGTTATTTGATTTAATCAACCATTACATGACAAAATTAATTTATAGAAATAGTGTTATATATATGATCGACACAATATCTACCTTATAGTTATCCAAAATGATAATCAAACATAAAACAAAACAGCATTTAAAATTAATTAACCAAAATAAATCCTTTCTCACACCACATCAGTGTGCTCCAAGCTTTTCCATCATTTGTCATAAATAACATACTTAAATATATTTTTGATATTTCCATCTTCAGTTCTGCGGATTTTGAATATATTGATTTGGATGATACTATCAGCTAGTATTAATTATATAACATACAGTGTAGTATAAATTTTTTTCTGTAAAAGGTCAATACTCTGTTGTCTTTTATTTTTCTATGTTTTTTTATTTAAGTAATTTTGAAGTTAATTCAATTCACCGTGGGGATTGAAATTCTTTGTATTATGAATTGGTGATGTGTTGTAATTTTTGTTTATCTCTCTCTCTCTCTCTCTCTCTCTCTCTCTCCCCCCCCCCTCCCTTCTTTCTTTTTTTTTTTTTTTTTTTTTTATTATATTTAGATCTTATAAGGTGATTTTAATAGTCTTCAAACTCATGTAATTATCTCTTGAGATTTATTGCAGAGAACGAATTTGATTAGTATAATTTTCCTTGCTCCTTCCAAGGTTTACAGTGTAGTAAATAACAAAATTCTTTCCTTTTCTAATGTTATATTTTCTTTTTAATTCTTTCTGAGTATTATGCTTTTTTATTCATCTCATGTGTGTGTGTGTGTGTTTTTTTTTGGTGTTTTCCCCTTTTTTTTTTTTTTAATATTATAGCCGCTGGCAAGTGCATACGGCCTTGCAAAGCATAGAGATGGACGCTGGGAGTGGGCTATTGCTCCGGGTGTTTCTCCTTCTCCGAGATACCAACATGCAGCTGTGAGGGCCTTTCAATACTTTGTAACCTTTAATATCATGTAAAAATATGCATTAATATTCTTCATAACCATTCTTTTAGGTTTTTGTCAATGCAAGGCTTCATGTATCTGGAGGAGCTCTTGGTGGTGGTCGCATGGTGGAAGATTCATCAAGTGTTGCGGGTAATTTATTATGAGTATTTCTTGTACAGATTTTGTATATTTGATACTTGTTGAATTCCTTCCTCTTTTGTTGCCAGCTCATTTTTGGTATAACTGCTGCTCATTTTATAAATTTCCTTGCATGTTTTTTTTCCCTCCAAAAAACTTTTTGATTGTTCAAATTTTTATGAATTTCACCCTCTATATATCGGCATTTGACAGGAAAGAAAACAATCATTGTAAATAAATGCCTTTTTGTTCCGTGAGAAGCTATTTTTGAACGTAAATGGTTATGCGGTATCCAGTGCCAGAAGCTATTAGTAAATAATCATTTTTAAACATCATTATGAATTTTGACTCAGTCTTGGTTAGCTTCATATAATATCATTTTTAGATCTAATTTATTGTTGAATCCATATCTTTTTGCTTTCAAGTTGTGATTTAAGCTGATAAATTGTGTGGCACCTCATTTAAGAATTTATATATGCTGTCATTATCAATAATATATACCTGGTAAAGGACTGTTCGTTAACTTCAACTCATTAATGTCACAGGTTAAGCATTTTATATGTAAATCAAAATTTTTTTGAGCTATTTGGTGAAAAATTATGGAAGCGCCATGCAGGCCAAGAGTGGCTCCATTTCATTTGTTTCTATATATTTTCGTGCAATGTTAAATTATGTTCGTCAATAAGGCATCTTGATATCACATCTTTTTTATTATTTTTGCAAGTGTCAGAATAGTCCCTTGACTATTTCCATGGATTCATTTTAATTCCAGGCCTATAAAAGTGTCAAATTAGTCATCAGACTTTTAATATGGGTTAAAATGGTCCCCGGGATGGACTATTTTACCCCCATTAAAAAATTTTGGGGACTAATTTGACACTTTTATAAACTTACTGGACTATAATAAATCTCTAAAAAGGGTCCGGGGACCATTTTTACATCTTTCTCTATTTTTTGTTGTTGAACACCATTATATTTTTTATGCTTCCTTCCTAATGTTATGCTTAATACATGGTCCAGTTTTAGCTTTGTGCTAAGTCAACTGCAGTCTTGAGGGGTGAGGTATTAAGTTGCAACTTTTCAGCATCACGGTGTTATTTTTTGCAACCATTGCAAGCGCTTTAATTTATTCCATCTGTGTTTGTATATTATGGCTGTTTTATGTAGCATTTTTATAGATCTGCGGCTTTCTTTCACCATTGTTAGTTAGATTTTGACCAATCTGAGCCAAGCACCTTTCCACGTCATATTTTTTGACCTCTTTTTGTTTTATAACTATGCAAGTCTTGATAGTTCATATCTGAGAAGTGCTTCATATTCTTTCATGTTTCAGTTCTGGACACTGCTGCTGGAGTTTGGTGTGATATAAAATCAGTGGTGACAAGTCCTAGGACTGGCAGATACAGTGCTGATACAGCTGGGGGAGATGCTTCAGTTGAACTTACACGGAGGTGCAGGCATGCAGCTGCCGCAATCGGCGATATGATATTCATTTATGGAGGATTACGTGGAGGTAAGAGTAAAATCTATTTAGGAGAGTTTACATACATACCACCCAATTTCCATGTATTTACATTTGTAATAAGTTAAGCTTTACTTTTTACATTTATAACACCCAAATTTTTCATATCACTCAAAAATATTACTATTTTAACTTCTAAAAGTGAAATACACATTTTTATGCATAGAAGGTGGCATATATGTAAAAATTGAAGTTTAGATCTTCTATATGTAAATACATAGGAACTAAGTGGCATGCATGTCAATCTTCTATTTATTTATGGGCAGGTGAAAGTTGTCTTTTGATCAAATTCCAAGATTTTTATTATTTTTTAATTTCTTTGTCTTTATGATTATGTGACCTGTTCATTGTAATTATTATTGCTTCTATTATCTTTGCTCAAATAGGTGACTTTTGGTGGCTTCCTTAATCTCATGTTTCAACTTGCTCTTTCTTGTTTTTATTGCCATAAAGCATAGACGCTTCAAAATGCCTTTTGTGTTTGTGCCCACATGGACACATCACCGCCATGTATCCAACAATCTTAAAGCTTTGTTTTAGATATTTCAATCCCATGCGTGACATAGGGTTCATGCGATGCTTTTTAGGTTTGAAATTCCTGTTTGTGTTTGTCTTCAGTTTTCTAGACTTGTTAATTTATTGTATTTTTCTGCAATAGGCTTTTGCTTCTGAGTTTATCATATATTTCTGAGGCAACTACCACTAAACTTCGTAAATGTTTGTCTTGTTTTTCTTTTAATTTTTTTAATAATTGTACGGGTTCATTTTGTTTTTGTTATTTAGTAATCTTTCGGTTCTTACTTTAGCAGCCATTTAGATTATAATGACTACTTTATTTGCATTTTGGTTTTTACAGGTGTGCTGCTGGATGATCTACTAGCTGCTGAGGATCTCGCCGCTGCTGAGACAACATCTGCAGCTTCTCATGCTGCTGCAGTTGCCGCAGCTTCCAACATTCAACCAGGGAGATCACCTGGAGGATACACATACTCCGATGAAAGGGAAAGGCAAGTGATCACTGAATCAGTCCCTGATGGTTCAGTAGTCCTCGGTACTCCTGTCGCTCCTCCTGTCAATGGGGACATGTATACTGATATAAGCACTGAAAATGCCATGCTCCAAGGACAAAGGTACGCTAATGAGGAAGCTGTCAGTGGGTTTTATTACAACCTGATCATTTCTTCATCATAATCATCATCATTACTACAATTAGGCTATGCTAGTTATGTGCATTATTTGGTCAAAACTTAAAAATAGAGTCAAACCCGAACAATTTTACTTTTTTTGGTTTGTTTTCAAAAATGCATTTTGGTTTATTTTCACTTCTCATTTTTTAATTTAGTTTTAATTTTCATTTAACCGGGCAAAACCGTAAAACCAAAAATTGAAATTATATGAATTATTCTTGAAATTAAATCGATATTATACGCGTAAGACATGCAATTCTTCATGCTTGTTCATAACTAAACTCCAACAAAGGCCAAATTTTGGTTTGTTCTATGGCAAAGCCTAGGTGAGCAGTCAGTCAGCTTTGATGGATCCGTTTTCAAATTGGACAAGATTATTCTTAAGAAACTGAGGTTTATATGCTTGGTATTATCCAATATTGCCTTTCTTGATGAAAACCAAACTGGAAATTTGACGTGAGGTTATGTCCACCTGGATGGCATTAATAGAAAAAAGGCACTATATGCTATCTTTTTTTATGCCTTTACACAAATAATATGGATGTTTAGACATGTGACTAAGTATTGGTTTGGTGATTGCAGAAGATTGAGGAAAGGTGTAGAGTATTTGGTTGAAAACTCAGCGGCGGAAGCCGAGGCAATAAGTGCAGCGTTGGCTGCTGCCAAGGCTCGTCAAATAAATGGCGAAGCTGAGCAGTTGGCTGATCATGATGGTGGTCCTGAAGCTACTCCAAGTGGGAAGCAAATGCCAGACTTGATTAAAACAACGGATTCCTCTATACCAACAAACACCCCAGCACTTGGGGTTCGGCTACATCATCGAGCAGTTAGTATTTTTATTAGGAATATTTACATACATACCACTTTATTCCTATGTATTTATTTATCTAACAACTTATATTTACATACATACCACTTCAATTTTTACATATATGCCACCTTATCCATGCATAAAAAGGTGTATTTGAATTTTTTAAAATTTAACATAATGGTATTTTTGATGTGATATGAAAGGTCTGGCTGGTTTGAAAGTAAAAAAAGTAAAATTTAGGTGATATATATGAAAATAAATAAGAATTAGGTGGTTTGTATGTAAATTCACCTTTTTAGTAAGCCTAATAAAATGTGCTTATTTAATTATCTTATTTTGTGGAAGGTTGATTAATTTCTTATATTTTATGGAAACAAAAAATTAAGATTTCTTTCATTAACATGCACAGGTTGTTGTAGCTGCAGAAACAGGGGGTGCTTTGGGGGGGATGGTCAGACAACTTTCCATTGATCAATTCGAGAATGAGGGCAGAAGAGTGAGCTACGGAACTCCAGAGAATGCTACTGCAGCTAGAAAGTTACTGGATCGTCAAATGTCAATTAATAGTGTACCCAAAAAGGTTAACATATAGTCCCAATCAAGAAATTAGTATTTTGAGATTATACACATGCCGTGAATTTGTTTATTTTCAATGGAAAGATGCTTTGAGGTCAGGATATTACATAATTCAATGGAAAGATTGAATTATGGCTTCTTATAGTTGTTCCAGCCTTCTTCCATTTATTGTTTGGGGCATTTGCATTCATGTCATCAAATTTTTATGTATTTACATATCTAACACCTATATTTCACTATTTACATTTATAACACCCAAATCTTTCATTTGTCACTATTTACATTTATAACACCCAAATCTTTCATTTCACATAAAAAATACTATCATTTTGACTTTTAAAAAGTGATGCATCTTTTTATGCATAGGTAAGGTTGCTTGAATGTAAAAATTGAAGTTTAGGTGCTGATATGTAAATACATAGGAATTGATGGTATGCATGTAAATCTTCTTTATTGTTAATGTGTCCTCATGATTCTGGTTTAACTTGATGTAGGTCATTGCACATCTTCTGAAGCCCCGTGGTTGGAAGCCTCCTGTACGGAGGCAATTTTTCTTGGACTGCAATGAAATTGCGGATCTCTGTGACAATGCTGAACGAATATTTTCCAGCGAACCAAGCGTCCTGCAAATTAAGGCTCCTGTTAAGATCTTTGGTGATTTACATGGCCAGTTTGGTGATCTCATGCGCTTATTTGATGAGTATGGTGCTCCCTCAACAGCTGGAGATATAGCGTAAGATACTAACATTATATCATCTACATAGCATTTTAAATTGGCATTTATATTGTCTTTTTTTATCTATGGTATGATTCCACTATATCCCCTAAAATGCTTCTGATTTATGCTATAATCATAATTTTGTTGGCATTCAATCTCTGTAATGATTATGCTATTTACTCGGCTGTAATGATTTTAAGAAAGTCTTGGCATTCAATCTGTCTTTTTTTGTTTGTTAATCTTTATTGTTGGTATTTATGTTAGAGCATGATGTGCAGTTTGTGTTATAGTTGTTTTATGCTGGTATTGTCAATTAGTTGTAGCGACTCCGTGCTCTAGTGGTATATGTATAAACCATGAATACGGATGGATTCTCATTTAGTTCTGGTGTTTAGGTGTGGCAAAGATTTGGGGTGTGTGTGTGTGTAACACACAAATATATCCAATCAAATTTGAGAACTCTTGCATTTTCAAGGCCATTTCTACTACTCGCAAAGACGTGCATACCCAAAATGCATGTTATTTTGATTTTAAACTGAAATCTGGCCTAAGAAGGTGAAAAGAATATCAAATTCTTATAGTTCTAATTTTAGCAGATTGCCTTAGAAAATGATCAATGATCTTATTAGTTGATAATTTGGAATAAAATTGCCGTCTTCTTTTTTTTCTGCACATCGGAGGTCAAGAAGTTTAAGAAATAATTTTTAAAGATTAGATTAAATATATTTTCAAAAGTAATGTCAAAATAAACATATCAGAGTAATGGCCTTTCAAACTGGCAGAGCATACTCTGGTTCCATGGAAGTTATAGAATTCTGAGTTTAACAAGTGATTCATTCATAAACAACATTTGAAACTATCCCATAGCAAAAACCAGGATACATTAAACCAGTTTGTACTTTTTCAAAACTCACTGATGATAACTTTTGAAATTATTTTAATCATCAACATTCAATCCCCCTTTTCGTTGGATGCTGAGCAGAACTTCTCAAACCCTCTTCCAATGCAACCTTCATCTTTCTTTATGTCATGCTTTTGGCCATGCTCCTTTGGATGAATCTAATTTACAATATTACCACCTCCACTGATTGCATGAAGAATTACCTAACAAGTGTAAATAAAAGAAGAACCATTGAGAAATCATCTAAGTTGACTTTCTTTCGATTCTTCCATATTTTAGCTTCATAGGGAGATCAGCAATGGAGGTAGGAAAGCTGATGAGGAGAGAAGGATAAGTGAAGCGTTGCAATGCGGATTTGTCGCAGGCAAAAAAAGTGAGGTGATCAAGCAAGTTTCATAGCATAAGTGGCTATTTTCAGAAAAAAGAAGGAACAAAAAACATAATCAAACATGCCTTTTTTTCTGTGGATGCTTTTTGGGGAATCTCTTAGTTTTTCTACTTTGTGTTGGACTTGCATCTGTTTTTTCCCGTGATTCATAGTTTATTTATTTAAGGGAAAATTTCATAATTTTCTCATTGTCTTGTGATTCACAGTTACATTGATTATCTCTTCCTAGGAGATTATGTTGATCGAGGCCAGCATAGTTTGGAAACTATTACACTTCTTCTTGCATTAAAGGTATAGTTTATCTGAAGAACAATCTTTTTGCATCAGTCATAAGATTAAAATTTTGGGACATCTACTATGATAAGTTTTATAATGCAGGTTGAGCATCCTCATAATGTACACTTAATTCGAGGAAATCATGAGGCAGCTGATATTAATGCATTGTTTGGCTTTCGAATAGAATGCATTGAAAGAATGGTAATAATATTACCACTTTTACATTTCTCACTAATTTCCTTTTGGTTTTGTAATTTTCTTTCTCACCTTGTTAATGTGACTTGCTAGGGAGAACGAGATGGAATTTGGGCGTGGCATCGGATAAATAGATTATTTAATTGGCTTCCTTTGGCTGCATTAATTGAGAAAAAAATTATTTGCATGCACGGTGGGATTGGGAGGTCCATAAATCATATAGGACAGATTGAGAACTTACAACGTCCAATTACAATGGAAGCAGGATCTGTAGTTCTTATGGATCTTTTATGGTATGTCCTTTCTCTATGGTTGTATTTTGCTTTTTTTCAAGCACTACTTGTTATGTTTATTATTATCTTTTATGTCTATAGGTCTGATCCAACAGAGAATGATAGCGTTGAAGGGTTAAGACCAAATGCCAGAGGCCCTGGTCTTGTTACTTTTGGGGTTAGCCTTCTATCATTTCAATACATTTTTTTGTTGTTATATTTTTCTCGTGGGGTTTTAAAGTTTTTTTTTTTTTTTTGTGCTCTTAATAAACTATTATAGATTCCAAATTACTTGTTGAAAGGTTGTTTTGGAAGGGAAACACCAGAAGTTGGTTTTGGTTGGTGCTATATTTTAACTTATATTTGGGGATGGATAAAGATGCTAGATGGACATCGTCCATCCTTTTGACTAATATTTGAGGGATTTGGAAGAAAATACTGTGTAAATGATGGGGCATGAGAAACTAAAGGGTCTTTTTTTGTTTGTCTATTTTAGTCAATTTTATTATTTATGTTTCTAAATTAATCACCTTTCTTATTTACATGTACCACAATTTGTGGTATCAATGTGGACTTTGATTGTTGGAGATCACATCCCTTAATCAAAAGATAAGGATCTTCTTTAATAGAACTCATTTTGTAAGACACTTTTCAGATATAGGTAAGCTTGAGATTCTCAAAAACAGCGCACTCTCACACAGAGAGAGAGAGAGAGAGAGAGAGAGAGAGTCGCCTGTACACTACATGGGGTGATAATTACTTTTGGGAAGATTCTTTCTTAATAGAACATACAATGTTCAGTGTTTTGTCTTTGAAGAAAGTTGAATAAGGGAGAACATTTTTTTTTGTTATATGTCTAGAAATTCACAGTTGTTTCCTTACGAGTATCAATATACGGATGCTGGTTTCCAAACTTGGCATTGGGTCCTGATAAACAAAGGTTGTATGTGAGAACAGATTTAGTCGACATTCAATTGTCTCGATAGATATGTTTTAAACCCTTGAAGAGTTGTCAAATGTTTTGAGATCTGGTGTAAATTAATTCAAGTTCCATAGTTTTAATCTCTTATTTTTGTTGGATGGTAATTTTTTTTTTAAAAAGTAATTAAGTTGTCAAAGCAATTATAAACAGATTGAATAGGAAACCGTATGAGAGATGCGAAAAGGTTAGAAAAGAAAATTCAATGACTTGATGTTTCAAAATGGCTAATAAATGTTTAGGTAAACAATATAACGAATGAGAATTCAAAATGCTAACCACAACAAGGGATGAAGAGACCTAATGGCGGTTGCCAACTTGCAATCAACTAATCACTGTTGTTTCTAATAATGACTCCGAACTTTTGATTAACTGTAGTTTGATTGAAATTTTTTTTAGTAGTGTACTATGGAAACTTATTTGGATATGCGGAGCTTAAAAAATCTAGAGATTATATTGATGATAGTTTTTGTATAAATACTTGAAATGCCACATATTCCCCATCAGTGGGAAAGTGGCCATTGAAGAATGCATTCTATTAATCATTTTTTTTATTCTGCCAAGTCTTCCTGTTTGAGGCTATACAAAAGTCATGTGCGAAGCAGTTCTAGAGAGATAAATTCTTTATATTTATGTTTGAGTGAGAGTGACAACTCTTTTATTTGGGTGAGTGATTCCTCAAATATCTGTAGGAGAGTTCTCCAAATTTTGGTTGGGCTAATACTATCATTATCATATACTTACTATTAAAATTAGTTTTTTTGTGTTTCACTTGATTTGAAGTTTTCTCATTGAAATGATGAAAATTGACGTCAAAAGTTGGTTTCTCCATGCGTTGTGGTTGTAGGACTCGCCCGATGGCAACTCTTTTCATGAAGTTGTGAGGATATTTATTGAGTTCTCTAGAAAGAATAGTCTTATATTCCTAGGCATTCTTGACGTACCCATATTTATGTATTGATAACAAAGATTGTGTTATTAACTGGTGTTAAGTCACTAGTGTTGCTTGATCATGAGCATTAGCTATCCTCAATGGAAGAGATAGTTTGTTGAGTACCAAACTTAATAATTTTTTTAGTGGAAGCGAGAATGATTAAATATTCATTTTAAAAGCACTATTCAACACTTGACTAGTTATTGAAGTACTTAACCAACATCTACCGCCACCATATCGTGTAATTGACCAAAAAATACATGCTTGGGTTATAATGTCTTTGCTACATGCTTGGGCTATAAATGTTTTTTGGTTGGTGTGGTTTTTATCATAATCCTTGTTATTTCTAGCTTAGGGAAAGATTTGAAATTCCTATTCTTTGGGCAAATAATTTTCCACCATTATCATCTCTCTTAGTAATATCTTCTTTTGTTATCTGTATCTCTTCTCAATACTTGCAGGCTACCGTATTAGAAGACCATTTTATTCATAAAATGATTGCTAAGTACGTAAATATTTGCTTAAAAAGAGAAACAATGTTATATTTATGACAACAAAAAATTATGCTAATGATCATTAAAATGGTTAGTACTTGCTCAAGAAAGCCTCGTTATAACACAACTTAACACAGTTCAATTATTTTTTTTTTTGGGTATAATCAGATAAAGAAAAGACAGATAAAGAAAAGAACACTTTTTGTCATTATAACAGTATCTATCTTTGAAATATATGCTTGACAAGTTTAGAAAGGGTTAAAAATGGGAGGTTGATATCGATAAAGGATTGATTTGGGCCTACATGTGTCCAAAATATACTTATGCAACCAGAAATTCCCTTCATAATTTATCTATTTCTGTTATAACTAAGTTTGGGTTGAGTGAGAAAGGGCCCCTTTTGCTCAATGCATGACATGGCAAATGGAATCTTCATTTTTCTTTTCTCTTGTTTCTTTTTTCACTTCTTATTGGCATCTTAATGTCCATGTTCTTAGGGCTGATTGTGGTCATAATATTGTACTTAACTTTTCTCTATTTTATGTGGCTTGTATCCACTATGAATTGTATATTTCCTCTACCTTTTGATTATGAAAATACGAGCATTATTCCCTCATTTTTCTGCGAACATAGATTTAGGTGTCCATACGATATTTGCAAAATTTTTAAAATCGCTCTAAAATTAATGCAAGAATAGGCTAAGGCTATATGCCTCCAATGTCAAGTTTCTTTGTTGTATAATGTCATCATCACATGTTCTTCCAGTAAGCATTTGATTGTTAAAATGGAGGCCTAGCTTCAAATAAACTAAGGCTCATCCGGCATTTTTAAAATGGAAGTATAGCTTCAAATATGCTAAGATTTGTTCGTCGTTGACATTTGATTGCTTGTGGTATGTTGATTTTATTTAAGAGAAATTGACATATATATACCACACAATTCTTATGTATTTACATATCGGGCACCGAAAGTTTGATATTTGCATTTATAACAAATTAATGCTTAAATCTATGCATGAAAATATGTATTTCATTTTTTTTCCCGGGAAATTTGAGCCCAAACCGCAATATGCGCGATTCGAACCTGCGACCTCTCGGTGGGAAATTAAACCCTCGACTACTATGTTGCAATTAAGTGCGCGTATTTCAATTTTAAAATGGCAATGATGGCGGTATTTTTTGTGATGTTAAAGATTTAATTGTTATGCATGTAAATATGAATGTTCAGGTGTTAGATAGGTAAATACATAAGAGTTGTGTCATGTATCTAAATGCCCCTGAACCAAGGCAATTTATTTGCTATTCCATTCTATTTTTTTTTATTTCATCCACTCTTTATATTACGTTGGCTTGCCACTCTCTTTCTAATAAGTTTAGCCTTTTTACTGCAGCCTGACCGTGTTATGGAGTTCTGCAATAACAATGATTTGCAGCTTATAGTTCGTGCACATGAATGTGTAATGGATGGTTTTGAACGTTTCGCTCAAGGACATCTAATTACTCTTTTCTCGGCGACCAACTATTGTGGTTAGAACTTCGAATCTATTGCAATGCTCATAACTAATATTTATTTTATCAAAAAAAGTTGCGTCGGGATATTCTAACTGAAATTTTTAATGCAATGTTAATTGCTAATGTATTGCATTTATCTCAATAGATCCAAAGATCTTAAGACTCATTCTAATCGAAATTTTGATCAGGCTATCTTAACCCAATTTTTTTGCTATATTATTAGATCTCTTAGCTAATCTCTTGAATTTTTTACAAGTATAGGTACAGCAAACAATGCAGGAGCCATCTTAGTCTTAGGAAGAGATCTGGTGGTTGTTCCAAAACTCATTCATCCTCTGCCACCTGCAATTACTTCACCAGAAACGTCCCCAGAGCGCCATATTGAGGATACTTGGATGCAGGTTTCATTTATTGACATACCGCTCCATTCTTATGTATTGACATGTTGCATGAAAATTTGTATTTCTGTTTTGAGAAGTTGAAATAGAATGGTATTTTCATTGTGATAATGTGAAGATATATGTAAACACATAAGAATTGGGTGATATGTATGTAAATAGCCCCAGCCCCGACAGCAATGATTGAGGCTCTTGATCTTGCTACTTATGATATTCATTTTTTTTATGTCAGGAGCTTAATGCAAATCGACCGCCGACTCCAACCAGGGGTCGCCCGCAAGTCGCAAATGATCGGGGTTCTCTCGCATGGATATGATATAGCTCTTTGCCCTCTCTCTCTCTCTCTGTGTCTCTCATGTCTGTGTAGTTAATTTTTGTCGGATGATGATGGCTTGTGATTGCTTGGCTATCGTTGATTTTCTTGAAGCTTTGAGTGGATTATTCTCCTCCTATGAACCTGGAGCCTGACACAATCGAGATTATCGACGTCTAGAAAGATAGATGAGATTCTCTTGGAAACTGACCCACTAATGATATATCATCAAATGGTTGGCAGGCAAAATTCATTTGAGAGAGCTTTAGTTTGGAGGGGTAGAAGTTTCCTGGCATTGTCGTCCCTACTAAAAGTTTGCCTCTTGTATATTTTTGCCTGTTGGCACAGATTCATATATGTGTGTGTATGTGGTGGTACTGTTTAGAGGCCTATTTCAATTAGGGCATTCTTTTCTTTTCTTTTTCCCCCTCCTCTTTTTGTTTTCTGCTTTTTTTTTTTTTCTTTTTTTGGCCCATTTTCATGCTTACATGTTATAATTTACAGCTGGTGCTGTGGTCTTGTATCATATAAAATTGGTAATCTTGCAGAACATTTCATCTATATGTCTTTAGCTGTGCTTGGTATGTACATTATAGTATATTTAAATTTTTTATTTTTTATTTTTATTTTTTTGGTGAAACATTTTTATGAAGGGTTGAAGAAATTGTTTGCTGGTAGCCTTTTATTTCATTCCTGCATATGTTCATAACTGATTCAGGTCAGTGTATCATCATCAGCTTTTGATATGTAGTTCTATTTTATAAACCTTTTATTGCTTCAATCTTAGCCATCTAAACTAACACTTAGGGTCTGTTTGGGGTAGCTGCAGTTTATTGAATAATCTGCCGATAAACTGATTAAAAATAATCTGCTAATAAACTAGGTGTGGTGGCTATTATAAATTTTTATTTTTTTAAAAAAGTCAGACCGCTGCTAGAAAGTTGTCACCGCATCTAGATAGGTGCGGTATGAAAATACTGCTTTCAGCGTTTTCAACACGCATAAGCTACCAAAACGTAATTTGCCCAAACAGGCAAGGTGCATTTTCATAACGTCACCGCACCAAATAAGCTGCCCGGAACAGACCCCCCTTAAAGTCTGATAGTCTGATGTTTAACCGTTGCTTTTTTTACTTTGCATGAGTTTTAGTTTACGTTTCTGTGCCAATTTATTCGGTAGCTTTTTTTTTTTATGAAGGAAATAGATGGGCTTACAAGGCTGTTATTGATGCAAGCTGGGTCTATGTAAACGCCACTCAATTCATATGTATTTACATATCTGACACCTGAACTTTCATATTTTCATAAATATATATTTACATGCACAAATTAAAGCATTAGTGTTATAAATGTAACATATGAATTGTGTGATATGTAAATATAAAATTAATTATAAATATTAAATTTATACAAATAATGGAATTCAAATTCTGCTTGAATCGACGCTGGACTTTTGGATCAGAAATAAACAGTATATTATTTGTTTAGGGTTTATATATATGTATTAAAAGTTATGTGCTTCTCAAATTAAATCATTATCATTCATTTTATTTATAAAATTTTTACATATGATCATACCTAGGACTACACTAATATTAGAAAGATTTATTTGCATACCACTGAATTCTTAAGAATATGCATATCTAACCATCTCATCTACGCATGAAAAGGTGTATAAATTATAAAAACAAAGTTTAGGTGTGGGTGGTATGTATGTAAATATTTCTTAATTGCGTAAAAGCTACTGTATAAGCTTGGGATAACCAGCCATGGAGGAGCATCTACTCTGAATCATCAGTGTCATCAATAAACTGACTTGAATTGTTGCTTCCATCTTCAACACTGACATTGTTGTCATCCATATCACAGCCTTTGTTCTTCGCCGGAGCTGCATCGACCGGCGGAACGAGATTTCGCCAGCTATAGTTATCCGGCTCGAGGGATCCGGGATCTTCGATCCAGTCGGCAGCAACAGAATGCAGCCCATCGTAGCACAGTGGATCATATTCATGTCTCATGGAGCTTTTGCTTCCTGATGATGCTGCAGATTGCCTGCAATGATGTGGAGTTTTCAAAAAAAGTAAACCAAGATTATGTTTTATATCAATGTAAATCCAACCCCAGTTAACATCTATGCAAGTTATGAAAATAGTTGAAACGCTCAATAAATGTTTTCATTTTAAACCATTATTAACTTTATATATGTATGGGTGGCAACTTACCCAACTTATAGAAGAGAACTTAAAGTGTGTCCTCATTAAAGATGTCTAACCTGATGCCTAGCATCTAGTATATTGAATTCCAAGTTTAAAAAACCGATCTATGCCGGCCGCCCCTAGCATCTAGTATATAGAATTCCAAGTTTAAAAAACCGATCTATGCCGGCCGGTTCAACTTGTTCGACCGGAGTTCTTTTTTTCTTTTATTTTTTCTATTGGAGTGCCGTATCATTAGATTTCTTTCACGAGATGTGTTTGTAATATGAAAGGATTGAGATGGTGATCCCACCCATACATTTGAAGGCCTCCATCATCGAAAACAATGCTAATTGCTATTTGACAACATAATTATGTTGTTTTTCTATTGCCGGCCTACTGTCCAGTTGTTGTTCCGCTGAATTTCAACCGACAAAATTCCTCCCACTTTCATTACCTATCCTACAACTTCCTTGTCCTCCCCCAACACCCTTAGAAGCCCTAAAATAATGTTATTTGACATCAGAGCTTGACAAACCCTAAATTTTAGGAATTTTTTTTTTCCTACATCTAAACTAAAATCTAGGGTTGTAAACGAGCCGAGCTTGAGCGAGCTCAGGCTTGGCTCGTGTTCGGGTCGTTCTAAATTGCTCGTGTTCGAAATCGGCTCGTGTTTGAAACCGGCTCGTGAACAGTGTGTTCGTGTTCAGCTCGATTTATAAATTCGTGTTCATGTTTGGCTTGAAATTGACTCATTAAAATTAAACTGAAAAAATATATGTAGAGTGTTGGATTCCAACCTAGATCAAATATATGCAAAACAAGACGCAAAACCACATTACCACAGAGCAGTTACGATTTAAACATAAATATAAATATATATAATATATTATTATATAAATAATAATATATATAATATATTATTGCATAAATAATTATATAATTTTTTTTTAGCTTAATTAGAAAGAAACGGAATAGAAAATAAGGCTAGAAAAGGAAAAGTACTGTGTTGAATTTGATAATGAGGGCAGAAAATCCCGTAAACAGCGTTTTCACGAGTGGGACTTGAGTCAGGCCCATCCTGCAATCCAAGAATCGCAAAGATTTGAGAGCCCGCGGGATTCCACACGGGTCTCTGCAATCCACACAACCTAAACCTTCATTGAACTCAATATCATAATCATTCCTACCTCAATTCCTAGCCCTAACTCAATTTTTCAAAAGCTAACATTCTAACCTCCACAAAAAATCTAACTTGACACCTACCACCAAAACCATAAGCCTTCAGCTAACCTTCCATCTACAACCCTATACCCGCCGAAATTATGATCGTGAGAAAATGACACGATGCAGTTTAGGAGAAATATGCAAATAAGTATCTACAAGCTTACGATGCAAGACATGCAAAGATAATCCTCCAACTACAACAAATAATTGCCACCTTTGAAAGGAGCAATCCAAATAAATCACTCAGAGCCATAATGATTACTGGTCAGACATAGCCAAGAAAGTAATTCCCTTCCACCCATAAGTTTCGGTGATTAATAACTAATACTTCGACAATTTGACCTGAAATATCAAAGAAGCGTAACTTTAGAGTGAATATTGATTTGTCAGATTTTGACAGACGTTTGGATTCATATGAATTCATTGAGTGAGTCTAAATAGTGAAACTAAAAGAGCTCGCAATGGAGAGGCATCTTGTAAGACTGATATCATCTATTAGTAATGTAGAGTAACTGCAGTCATATTAGTCCACACTGTACAAACCCTAGCTTTGAAGGTGAAGAAACAACGTCACCAGGTGACTGCCATACCTTACAGATAGCATTCAATCCAAGGATTAGACAACAAGAGTACACCTATTGGAGCACCCAAGCCGACCCATTCTAGGAAAAAAACAGTTCAAAATGGAGAAAAGGCGGAGAACACCAACACACTCAAATCTCTCCCAACCGTATAATGCTTAAAATGTCATGATTTTGGGGACATTGAGTTCAATTTCCCAAGTACAAGGGGTTGACTTGGGTTGCTCCAATACAGTGATCTCTTTCACTGAACATGGAACAATTGAAAAAATGGATAATAACTAAAAATAAATGAAGATGTCAAAGAGTAAGCCGATGTGGGAGAGATGCTAGTTGTTTGACGAATCCTTCAAATTGAGCCATGAGATAACAATAGTAACTCTGCCACAATATCTTTCATATCTATTGCATCGTGAAAACAAAAACGTAAGTAATTGTGAGAATATAGTGTCTACCTAAATGGTCGACAAGTTGAATCTGGTAAAACGGAAACGATCCCAACCATATTCTCTGTTGTGGTTGAAGAAATGAAATAAGACTGCAATTGACAGGAAATATCTCATGGAGTTATTTATTGAAGACAAGTTTTCGAAGCAAGTGTGATGTGATGCGGTACCTTTGAATGTGTTACACAAGTGCCTAAAGGGCAATTTAGTACATTATTATTTATTATTGTGAGGTATAAATAGGGCTAATATGTTTAGAGTTAATGTCATGTATTAGATTGTAATCTTGAGTTTTAAATTTAAAATTTATGAGCTCGTCAGCATCTCAAATTGTAAGTGTTGGGAGATATCGTCTACCTCTCGAATTGTAAGTGTTTATCTTTATGTATTTAAGTTGTGTTATTTTTTGTTAATAAAGCAAAAATAATTTGTTTGCCCTAATTTCTATACATAAATAGTCTTGGTTTGTCAAATTGGTACAAGAGCATTCAATTATGGGGATTTAGGAATAAAAAACAAAATAATGACGTACAAAATTCCGACTTGAACTGAATATCATGATATAACTGCGATCGAGCTAGCTAAGAAACAAATGCAGGATCGCGACGTACAAAAGGATGGTGGGAAGAAAATGATAGGATTGCAACCCGATACAATCACAATCGAGCTAGCTGGGAACCAACTAAAGAAATACGGGAAGCAAACAACGGGAGCGCGACCAACAACTGTATCGCAATTTGAAATACAATCGTGAATAGATATGGGTGCGATGAATAAAACGGTCATGTTTAGACTTAGTTGTCTGGGAGGAAATGACTAAATTACGTCAAAGGGGTTCTAACCTTGTGATATAGCATGATTTTGAGCAAGTGGGGAAGCAAACAATGGGATCATGTCCATACAAGACTAATATAGCCGTGATTTGGGCGATCTGAGGAGCCAGGGACGGGATTGCGGCTTAAGACCTCATAATACAGTCATGGTTCAGGCAACTTATGAAGCCATCAATGGGATTTTAGCGTGTTAAATCTAAAATTGCCCAGGGAATAATGACAGACAAAGAATTAAATGCTTTGGAGAAGAATTTGGAGGAACAAACGAGCTAAATCATATCTGAAACAAAGTGTTTCTCATCCTTGAAAAGATAATTTTTGTCCATGGAGGAGAGATTCGCAGCCCTGAAATAAATGAAGAATAAGATTTTAAAGTTTCATAGAAAGCTGCCTCAACCCGCCATGAGATTGAGCGACAAAGTCTGGAGTGGATGCGAGCAGCAACAATCTCAAGGATTTGTGTGGAATTAAGGCTACATTACTGCCTTAGGTGGATCAGGAGTCATGGGATCAAGTGAAGAAATCAGGAGCAGATACGACCTACATCAATCAATAGGATTCCACAGATCAGTGTTGTGTCACTGCATTAGGCGGATCAAGCAAAGTAATTGGGAGTAGACTCGAGCGGAACCACTTAGAAGGAATAGTGCAATATCCAGACGACTAGAAAAAATGGAAGCATGTGGGATTCAAGAAAGGAGTCGAAAGTGGATTAGAGCAGTAACATCTAGAGGGAATTACGCGACATCGAGAGATTTGAAACAGGCAGCAATAGAAGAGAAGAGATGATATTCGATTCGGGGCTGATAACGATTGATTTGAAGAATTTCAGCCTGGAACAGGAAACCATGGTGGGTGGGACCCAGAAGGGTTGTATTCAACTGTGCTAGTTCCTTATGTTGTTGCAACCTTCTGGGAGAAAGACGATTCAAGAGTAATGATGGGAACGGGTCAGGTGGAGAAGAGCGGGAGAGAGTGTAAGCAACTAATTTTGGCATGGCAAAGTATTTAAGAGATAAATGATGGGGGTGCTTCACAGTGACCCCCGTTTATTCAAGACTTTTGGTAAAGCTCAAGACCGTGGTGAGTAAAATTCAAGATGCAGGGCTGAAACTCTAGACTGAGCTGTATAACATGGAATATGCATGTGATACAAAGTCGACAAAGATTAGGTCGATCAATGAGCTACTAAAAGAGTTGTTTGGGGCTACAATATTCTACAAGATTGACTTGAAGTCAGGTTATCGACAAGTTAGGATGTGGCTGAAGGATGTGCACAAGACTGCTTTTCGAACTCATGGAGCACTACGACATACCGATTAAATTGAAATGATTATTAGAAGAGGATGCCACATGAGAGCCAAACAAATTGATCCAGCAGCAGTTTCTTTTTTCTCACATTGACGACAATTAGTCTTTTGGGGAGGGGAGTATTGTTATGTCGGCACCTAAAAGAGTAATTATTATTTATTATTGTGGGGTATAAATAGGGCTAACATGTTTAGGGTTAGAGTTATGCATTGAATTGTTGTCATGAGTCTTAAGTTTGGGAGAGATTACCTACATCTCATTGTACGTTTTGGGAGAGAACGCATACCTCTCGAATTGTAGGTGTTTATCTTTATGTATTTAAGTTGTGATGTTTTGTGTTTGCAAAGAAAAATATTTTGTTTGCACTAATTTCTGTGAAAAAATCATCTTAGTTTGTATCAGAATGCTTATCATATCCTATTAGGCCATCATTAACAATACGATAGTTGTACAAATCAT